CTCCATCTCCTTTCAGTTCTCTTCCCCTCCCGTCTCCAGACAGTTCCACACACGGATTGCTGTGTATCAGCCCGGTGCCACTGCAGGCACCCGGCATCTATGGGTGAGACGCTGCTGTGTGGAAGGGAGAGAAGGGTGCCGTGGAGCGATCCCTCATTGTTCCCATCTGGAGATGGATATGGACGTGTCTGACACGAGCTGCTCTGTCCCGTTTGTTTACAGATGCGAGTGGAGATGAATGGGATGCAGAATCCCAGCCGGCTCCCCGGACGGAAGCTCTAGCAGATGGCATGGGTATGTCATGGCTTTTTACTTCCTTTGCGAGCTGCCACCTCACAGCCCTAATGTCAGCCAGCCACACCTGCAGGAGTGAGAGCACAGAGCTGCACGTGCGTGCCCTGTCCCTGCACCATCCCTGGTACCATCTGTTCCTCAGATGGCACTGTGCCGTCACGCAGTGACACAGACTGTGGTGTAAGATGGAAAGCTCTCATGGTTCTTTGCTTGCAGAAGTGCCTCCAGAGCAGAGCTGCTTCCCGTGCCGGACCCCCGCTGGTATCCCAGGGGTGGGTAGTCTGTCTGGGTGGACTTCACCAAACAGTGCTATGTTCAGTAGCTGGCTCATCTGGTACATCCTGTTCAGGTCCTGTGGGACAGAGAGGGAAGTTGGTAAGACAAAGATATTTTCAGAGGTTTTCTCACATTCTACAGACAGTCACGATGGAGAATGCAGCTCCTGGTGGGTATATTTCTGTCTGTTTACCAGAGGGCTTGGAAACCAACATTCTACACATGTGGAAAACACTGATGTCTTCTGGGAAGAAGTGCCCCCTGAAGATAACATCTTCCTGATGAGAGCAGATATTTACGGTTCCACTCTGCTTCCTTCTTTCTAAAGAGATCAACGGACAGCCTGTGGCTGAGGCTGTGTGTCAGGAGGGCAGCAGCTGCACGCTGCTCTTCTCCCATGAGGACACAGAGGACGTTCAAGCGGCTGGTGCTCCACTTCAAGGTAAAGGCTGTGCACAGAGCTCTGTGGCTGGCGGTTAGAGGTTGCTTCCCTCCCACCGGCTTCCCAAGGACTTAGGAACT